GCCAATTTGACATTGAGGAGGTCCTGGTATTCCTGGAGGTGACGGGCCATCTCCTCTTTGAGACTCCGGGTATCTTCCTCCAGTCGAATCACTGTGTCCTGGTAGTTGGCAGTCTCAAGGGCATAGCGGTCTTCCATCTCCCGCAGCTGCCTCTCCAGAGATTCATTCTGAAATGAGGGAAACGGAAGAATTGCTGGCAAAGGCCACCAAGGCAGTGACCTGTTAGGAATTTGCACCAGGCAAGGGACACCCTCTGCCTGCAGCCAACAAGGGTAGATTATCAACGCCACCGGGCACCAGTGGTGTCAATGACAGCAAGCCTGGCCACTGTTTGGAGTCTCTGAGCGGTGTACGTTTCTGGGACCGTGCCTTTTGCTTAATTGAACAAGTCAATAAGCTGCCTTTCTGCTAAACCACTCAAGGCACAAGTTATCATTTTAAATCATGACTTACAATCTAAGAGTCATGACCAGAAGGAACAGAGAAAGGAAAAAATTAGTGAGTTCATGTACTACCCAACACACTCATACTGTTACATAATAAAGTTACATAACCACAAAGTAGAATATCACTGTAAAAGACATTCATGGGAGGGGGTGGAAGGGGAGAATCGGTGGCAGGAGCTAGGCTACTCTGAGGGCTTTTGATTGTCTCACTTCATGCACTGTTATAACCAAATAGGTTGTCAGTTATGGAGGGAATTCCCAGAGGAGAGGACTTCAAAATAGAGAGGTTACTTACCTGTAACTTTGGTTCTTCGAGTGGTACTCTGTGAATTCACACTAATGGGTTAATCTGCGCTTGCGCAGAAGGCCTCGGAACATTCTAGAGCTTAAAGTAACACTTTTGGCTCCGCCCCCCCAGGACCTCATGGTCCGCCCGCCCTAACAGCCATTCAGTTCCCCAAATTCCGCTGCTGCTCTAAAGGCGAGACAGCCGTGACGGAAAGTGGGGAGGACGGGCGGGCCGTGTGAATTCACAGAGTACCACTCGAAGAACCAAAGTTACAGGTAAGTAACCTCTTTGTTTTCAGCAGCAGTTTCTAGATTTCTTTTGAGGCTGTTCATTAAGGAGTCTATATATGTGACTACATTTTGAGGATCTTCTTCTACAATTTGTTCCCAATTTTGCTTAATTAGATCAAGTGGACCTTTCACTTTTCTCCCAAATAGTAATTCAAAAGGACTGAACCCGGTACTTTCTTGTGGGACTGATCTGTAGGCATATAATAGTAATTGTAATTTCTGATCCCAGTTATTAGGGTTCTCAGCTAAATAGGCTTTAATCATTCTCATAAGGGTCCCATTAAATTTCTCTGTTAATCCGTTACTTTGCGGATGATATGGGGAAGTTCCTAAATGTTTAATGCCACAAATCTGCCACAGTCTCTTCATAAGTTTGGATGTAAACGATGGTCCTAAATCGGTTATAATCTCTGAAGCAAAACCCATTCTGCTCATATAGCTCAAAAGAGCATCAGCTACTGTGTGTGTCTCAATGTTGCTCAAAGGAATTTCCTCAGGGTATCTTGTGGCATGATCAACAATGGTAAGAATAAATCTGTTTCCCCTTTTTGTGACTTTAGGTAATGGTCCTATAATGTCCACTCCAATACATTTAAAAGGTGTAGAGATTACAGGTAAAGGGCTTAGCCTTCGTCCTGTTGCGGTTATTACCCTGTCTCTGGCACACATC